TGTCTATACATGGGTGCCGAATCCTGCGGATGAAATTTTCGTAAAATGGCAATTCGAAAATATCTATACATGGGTGCCGAGTCCCGCGGATGAAATTTTCATAAAATGGAAAATTTGAAAATATTAGACATGGGTGCCGAGTCCCTTGGATGAAATTTTCGTAAAATGGCAATTCGAAAATATCTATACATGGGTGCCGAGTCCCGCGGATGAAATTTTCGTAAAATGGCCACAAGAAAATAATTACACATGGGTGCCGAATCCCGCGGACGCAATCTCCGTAAAATGGCAGTTTGAGTATTGTTGGCATGAGGCGTAGTCTCATCTAAGTTGTTTGGTCAGGTTTTGAGCCGTGTTTATAAGTTGGGAATTGGATAAGTAAAGGATTATGAAATAGGATTGTAGTGTACGTTGGTTTATATGAGTTGAACATTTATTAAGTGCTAATGTTTTAGTTATTGCTTATACTATGTTTAGTATATCTCTACTGGGCGTTGGTTCACCCTATTTGGGACATCATTTTCAAGTGCAGGTGACATGCCACCTCTAAGAACGTAGCTTGGAAGGCTTAGTGGCTGAGAGACCTTTTTGATTACTTTTTGTATTACATGTATATCAAGCCAAGGGCTTATTTTGTGTAGAGTTAGTACTCTCCTTTTTGTAACCAAGTGTTGACTTGGAAAGTTGTAAGCCCGTAGGGCATTTACTTTTGTTGTTAACATGTAATACATTCTGTAAGAATACTCTGATTTATGAAATGTGATATCTCTTTCTTGTATCATGGATGTCTGTTTTGGGGTTTATTTTGAGGGCGTTACAATTGAGAACACCCTAGAAAACAAAACTTTATTTGTAGGTTATAGACATGAGAATGTATATATGTTTAATTTGCATGATTTATCTTCTCATTTTAATATTAAATATTTATTTGCTATAAATGATAATGGTTGGCTTTGACATAGAAGATTAGGACATGCTCATTTTAATTTAATTTCTAAACTTTCAAAAAATGAGTTAGTGATTGGTTTACTAAAAATTGTTTTTGAAAAAGATAAACTTTGTGATGCATGTCAAATTGGAAAACAAACTAGAATTTCTTTTAAATCCAAAAATATCGTTTCAACTAGTAAACCGCTTCAACTTTTGCATATTGATTTATTCGGACCATCTAGAACATTAAGTTTAGGAAGAAAATCGTATGCTCTTGTTTGTGTTGATGATTATACTAAATATACATGGGTATTATTTTTAGCGCACAAAAATGAAGCATTTTATAATTTTTCAAAGTTGTGTAAAAGAATTCAAAATAAAACAAGTCTTAATATTTGTAGTATTAGAAGTGATCATGGTAAAGAATTTAAAAATGATGATTTTATTAGATTTTGTGACGACTTAGGAATAAATCATAATTTCTCAACCCCTAGAACTCCTCAACAAAATGGTATAGTTGAAAGAAAAAATAGAACTCTTGAAGAAATGGCTTGTACTATGCTTTGTGAAAATAAGTTGCCTAAATATTTTTGGGCGGAAACCGTTAACACTGCATGCTATGTTATGAACCGAGCTATGATTAAACCTATTCTTAAGAAAACACCTTATAAAATTTGAAAAGGTAGAAAACCTAATATTAGTCACTTGCGTACATTTGGTTGTAAATGCTTTGTATTGAATAACAATAAAGATAACTTAGGAAAATTTGATGCCAAATTGAATGAAGCTATATTTCTTGGTTATTCAATTTTCAGTAAAGCTTATAGAATATTCAATAAAGGAACTCTACTTGTTGAAGAATCTGTGCATGTTGTTTTTCATGAATCAAACAACATTATTTCCAAGAATCTTGTAAGTAATGATATTGTAAAAAATCAACCAAGCATGAAGAACATTTACATAAAAGAAAATGAAGAAAATCCATTACGCGAACATGAAGAAGAAATGACAATGGAAAAACTTCAAGAAATATATGCTCTTCCAGAAAATAACTCAAATCTACCAAAAGAATAGAAGTATGCTTATTGCCACCCCAAAGACCTCATCATAGGTGATGCGGCAGAAAGTATAAAAACTCGTTCCTCTATTAAAAATGTTTGTGATAACTTAGTGTTTGTTTCACAAATTGAACAAAAATCGTTTTTAGAAGCTGAAAATGATGAAAACTGGATTTTAGCAATGCAAGAAGAATTAAATCAATTTGAAAGGAATGGAGTTTGGTTTTTAACTCCTCGACCTAAGGATCATCCCGTTATTGGTACAAAATGGGTTTTTTGAAATAAAATGGATTAATCCGGAGTTGTTACTAGAAATAAAGCTACATTAGTAGCTCAAGATTATAATCAAGAAGAGGGCATTAATTTTGATGACACTTTTGCACCAATTGCTAGACTTGAAGCTTTTAGAATATTATTTGCTTTTGCATGTTTTAAAGATTTTAAATTATATTAAATGGATGTTAAAAGTGTTTTTTTAAATAGATATATTTCGAATGAAGTTTATGTTGAACAACCTCCCGGGTTTGAAAATCATAAATACCCGGATCATGTTTTCAAACTTTCAAAAGCCTTACATGGCTTAAAACAAGCTCCTAGAGCTTGGTATGAAAGATTGAGTAATTTTCTACTCGACAAAAGTTTTTCTAGAGGAAAAATTGATATAACACTTTTTTATAAAAATCAAAAAGGAAGATATGCTAATTGTTCAAATTTATGTTGATGATATCATTTTTGGTGCTACTAATGAAAATTTGTGCAAAAAGTTTGTTAAAGATATGCAGGGTGAATTTGAAATGAGTATGATGGGAGAGTTAAATTACTTCCTGGGTCTACAAATTAAACAAACTAATGATGGTATCCATTTAAATCAAACGAAATATAAAAGATCTACTTAAAAGGTTTGAAATGAAATC